TGGTTTGCTTGAACGCTTACACTGTTCTCATCAGAACCCGCGTTCAGTTCTTCCGCAGAACTGAACGGGTTCTGATGAGAACAGTGTAAGCGTTCAAGCAAACCACTTCTGAAGATGCAAGCCACTCGTGCTTGCGAAACGTCAGGCAGAAATTCTACCGAACGACGGTCTAAAAACCCATTAGTTTCAGCATAAATAGAGTTTTTCAATTCATTTGGATGATTACTAAAGGCCATTAAGTCTGGTCGTTTTAAGTGAATCCGCAAAGTGTGGCCCTCTCACTGCCAAAGTGCTCTTTTTAATACCTAAAACTAATCTAGTCGTTCCGCTTGGCCGCCCCAATTATCTTCAGACACTTAATGAAGCAAAAAGTCGACTCGACAATGCCTGTGGATTTATCATCGGTTTCTACGCGGCATCAAATTTAATCAGCCGAAAATTTTCCCCTTATTGGCGACTGACTGAGAGGGTGGCTCTGGATTTTTCCCTCCTCAACATTTCACGAGTGCTTCGCTTGCTTGCTAAAGCCATCGGATAATCGAACCTGAAGCTGCAGTCGCACAGGTTTTCAATTAAAATATCCAAACAATCACAATTTCTCACTGGCTCTTTTCGATTGATCTCTTCCCTATCCTGGTTTTTGCTTCACTGTTAGACACATTTTTTCAGAAAAAAACCCGGAAGTTTTAGCGGCGAGAGTATCAAGTTCGAACGTAGCATCGCACATGGCTTGGCCATGTCGCATACAGTCCCATGGGTGCGAGTGAGACAATCGCTGCCAGCTACGTACCGGAATGACAGGTTTGATAAATATCGAGTTATGAAATGGTCAAAGATTTAGGCCTGGCGTTTCGCTAGCACGCCTGACGAACCGTGAAGGTGCTGGCCATGCGTGCTAGCGAAACGTCAGGACCAAATTCCAGCAACGAGGGTCCAAAACAGCGAACAATCATCAATTCTGAGTTCCATCTTTATGGTGCGATTCCCCAGGAAAAAACGCGATAAGATAAGCATTGCAAAGCCAAAAGCGTCATCCAGCAGACCGTAAATTTCCCATTTTATTTAGTTGCACGATTTCATCCAGCAAACGACAGATATTCCCGGGTAATAGGCAAATTTCGTTTTGGGCTCCCGGATCGTTCTTTATGGAAAATAGGCCATATCATATTTCTCGGGGAGCGAAAGACACAGAGGGAGCAAAAGTGAAGGGGGTTCCACCTCAAGTGCTCTGCCCGTGGAACATTAAAAAGTCCACAAAAGTAGTTGAATTAAAAAATGTTGGTCTAGTCGGGGTGATTTTCCGACTGTTTTCGCCAATGGGGCATCATCTGTTAAAGCTGCCACCTTGATCGATCCGAGCCGAAGAAGCCGAAAGTTTCATCATTAAACACGGGCGACGTCGATCCGAACCGAACCACCATTTATAAAGTTTCGCGCTGTTAAAAGATGGCTGATAGTGAACTCGTTGCCGAACAGCCACCCGCCCATATTTCCAACTTTATCTGAGCGGAACAGAAAAGCATGTCAACAGAGAAAAATAAAATGCTTCCTTAATGGACATGGGCGGCCAGTTCGCAGTTCTCATCTTTGGTCGTTTTATCACGTGCATGGTATTAGAGTTTAGCATCCCTTTGCGACAATGTCTCTCCCATATTCCGTCCACTTTGGACAACGTTTCGTTTGCCACATACAAACCGGCATTGTCAAACTGTCGATTCCGATGTTGCCCGATTGTTCAACAATTCCTTTGTTCCAGGCGAGTATCCGGCGGCCATGCAACACGGCGGTCAACTGCGCCTCCAGTATCCGTTCGCTGTGATTTTCATCAGCCTCTGTATGACGATGGGCGCTCCATGAGACCAGTTTTCCAGTGAATTTTCCCTTGTACATACAAATGAGTGAGTGAGTGTAAGTGAACGCGACGTCCAACCACATCGAAAGCGGTTATACAGGGTGTCTCACCGGGCACCGCCTTGATCTATACGCTGTCAACCATAATGAGGAGACTTTTTGGAAATTCCCGGAAACACCCTGTATGTTCCTCCACTCTCCTTCCAGAGGTCGAATTATGTACAGGGGGGTTTGTTTGCTTTTCAGAATTTCTTCTAATTATAGTCGGCAATTTGGGAATCCAAGCAGTTCGACTTGTATATCGAACAGCGCCCCACAATTGGTTGTTTAAAATTGTTTCGGTGTTGCCTGATGTGGCGCACAATCCAACAAATGCAACATTGCCATTATGGGTGCGCAGTTTGATGTGCAAGGACAGCAAGCGAAGGCAATACTAATGTTAAAAAAGGACGGAGGCCGTTCCAGTTGTAGAGGATATTCCATGTTTGTGAATTTTATTGTACTATATATTATATGGATTGTTTTCTCGGACACAGTTTTAACTACAAGACGTACCAACTGTTTCGGTTGGTGGTTTGAACCTTGACTATTGTACATAATAAATGAGGTTTTTTTGGTTAGCAGCTCGTTTTATTTGGCGTTGACTGGACCGACAGATTGGTCCGGATGGAGCATTCGAGCGCCGCATAATGGAAAGAAAGAGCAATTTTTGCGGCGACAACGTCGCGATCCGCTTCCCCCCGTTCGTTCCCATCCATTTGTCCTCACATTTTTCACGGATTTAAAACGTCCCAGGAATGAATTGCGACATTATGTAAACTTTTTCATAATCTGCTTAGTACGTTCCTGCGACGACCGTTTTATTCGGGGAGATTCATTTTTTATTCTCGTGCTCTGTATCAAATGGCGCAATTTTTTGCCACGTTTACTCGCGTGAAATTGCCAACTTGTCTCAGGAATATTGAATTGAAAACACTTCATTTTTGGAAGTTTGACGTTGGGAATCCACCCAGTTCCACATAAAATATCGCGAGTTAATTTTGGGAATGAAACTTGAAGTTGCGCTATTAAAGGCATTCTATATCTATATCTATATCTACTGGTTTCGATTGCCCCAATTCGGACATTCTTATTTTGAACCTTCGGTCGGTAAATCCTGCTCAGATCGTGCGTATAACCGGCGATTTAGCGCTTATAGGCCTGGCAGTTTCAGCACAAGTGCATTACGCTGTCAAAGAAAGGGCCTACTATACTAGCAACAACGTCTACGTGTGCACTCCCGGGGAATTTGTGAATTGCCGATAGTCTAAAATACAGATTTTAGGCAATTGGCAATACACAAATGAGCCCGGGTGGTCACCTAGATGCATGAAAATCAGGCCCTTAAAAGCCCGAAAACTCACCCGTTAAAGCAAGGGCAGCAGTTTCCAGTAACCCGAAGCGCTTGGAAAGGTGAGTTTTTGGAAAATTGCTTCTAGTGGGTTGAACTGCAAGCGATGGAACGTTGCATGGTGCCTTGATTGCCCGAAAATACTTGTTCTGCGAGCCAAAAGACCAGCAGGAAAACTTCAGTTTTAAGCGACTCCTAAGATTTGGAGTTAAACAATCTGATCAAGTGCGAATGGTGATTGCAGGGCGCGTTCTTGAAACACTCTAATTCATCTTGTTTAGGGCCAGAACGGAACGACAGCCGTTCGGGGTCGTAAAACCAGAGTGGGCAATATGGGGAAGATGAAACCGCTAAATGGAATAACGCCAAATTGAATTTTTTAATAAAAGTCGAACCAGCCACGGACGGCATGCGGGGAACTGACAAGCTCGCGTCGTAAAACCGCAAAATTACGACTGAGAAACCGTAAGCTCAACACTAACACCTACATAAAACAGCAGCCGAAAAACACCAATCATTAAGCCTTCAAAGCGGAGCTGAACACAACTTTTGCCGGGGAATATTCCCGATTTCGATCATGATTATTCCCGATGGGACAGCGTTTGCTCAAGATTGCGGCTCGATCAGGCCMCTTCACATTCAAGCCGCAAGAGCCACAACAAATAAAGCGCAATATTGTGTTGGAATGGCTCGCGGCCATAAACAACCCACGTTTGCTAATGATAACGAAGAAAACACGCTCAGGAATTAATTTGAGGCAATAAAGGCCTCAAACATGGAGTTAAGATTGGCATCGTACACGCACGTTGAATGTTCGCGATTAAATGCCGATAAAAGTTGGTTGGGCGGTCGGGATTCAACACATCAATGTGTTCTAATCATGTCATTAGGCGCAAAATACAGAAACTGTGTCAGCTGGTTTTAATGGGTTATTCTTTAGCTATCAAACTCAAAACAGCTGAAAATCGCTTCGCTTCCTTCCAAGCCCCATTTGCGCCAGCAAAAGAGCTAATTGATAAATCAAGGAAATTCATTCGATGTCTGAAAGTGGGCGCACTTTCCGCCCGCCCCGCTGTTGATTAGATCGCGATTGGGGCGAAATTCGCCCCTAATTGTAATTAGGGGCGCATTTTTCCTTTATCCAGTGGAATGTAATAATATTAAAACTTTCCGGGGGTTATTTGCAACTTGGCCCGTTGCGGGATGCGATCCGATGGAAAGAAGCCCTGATTAACATCGAAGCCACGCAAATTGCATCCGAAAGAGGCCAGCGAAACCGTCCAAAGTAGGTTGGAACAGTTTTTTTGGACGCGCTGTTTATCGAATAAACCGTATCATGCCGAAACGGAATTCTCAATAAAAACATGACATACGCAGCCCTCGCTGTTCAACTGTTTCCCGGTTTTCACCTCGCTAAACAAAAGCCCATCAATTTGGTTGTGTTTCCGACAGTCTTTTGTATCCGGGCGGCGTTCATTTTTTTGCTTTCGCTCTCTTTGAACTCTCGACACTTTTTATGTGCGGGAGTTGAGGGTTCCGATATGGCTCGGCTGGATGAGAATGAAGAATTCCTGCTGCCCTGATTAGTGGCTGACAAAAAGTCACATAAATCTGGATAAATCATTATCGCTTCCAGGCGCTGGGGGGGATTTGGATAAACACCTGCCGCGAATAGCAAACGAGCCTGGCCGGGAAATGTGGCGGAAAAGTCGAATGGAAAACACCAAAATATTTTACCTGAACACGTTAAAATTTACGAGCCTCGGCGCAGAACAAAGCCACAAGCATTTTTTGAGAAAACTGCCAACAATTCCCCATCCATGGTTCATTTTCTAAAAAAGTAGTTTATTTCTCTCTAGAATGATGAACAAATGAGCGTTCTTGC